CTTCTTTTTCTAGCTGGGCATATCGTTGCTCTGTTGGGGTCAATGAGCGTGACGCATATGCCACAGGTAACCGCACATCTCCCTCCTTCTGTAACAAAACTGCTCCCAGTCCGTACGATGAGGCATCTGCAGAGATCTTCTGAAGCTTATTCGGATCATGGAGTTGTGGCACTGGAGTAGACGACAATTCTTGCTTCAAGCTACAAAATGCTTTTTGTTGTTCGTGCCCCCAGTACCACATGTTTTTAGCTGAAAGCAAATCTCTCAGTGGTTTGTCTTTTTTAGAAAGAGTTGGGATGAACTTCCCTAGTTGGTTGACCATACCAAGGAAACTCCTGAGCTCACTCACATTACTAGGCTCTTTCATGTCCTGAACAGCCTTGGTTTTGTCTGGATCGGGACTCATTCCCTCCGATGAGACGATAAAACCCAGAAACTTCACTTCTCTTTTACTGAACTCACATTTTGCCATATTAAGCGTGACACCTGCCTGCTCCGCTTTCTGTAGGACCGCATGCAGCCTTGTGTCATGCTCCTCCTTGGTGGTTCCCCAAACCAGGATATCGTCCATGTGACACACGACTCCCTCCAGGCCTGCTGTCACCTCCGTCACCATCATGTTCTGAAAATGTTCAGGCGCACTGGAAATACCAAATGGCAAGCGATTGAAATGATAGCTACCAAATGGTGTGATAAACGTGGTGAGGAGAGCAGATTCTTTAGACAGTGGTATTTGCCAAAATCCCATATTTGCATCGAGTTTTGAAAAATACTGTGCTCCTGTGAGCATGCCTAGTGTCTGGTCCGCTGAGGGCAAAATGTATCTCTCACGACACACTGACTTGTTCAGTGGTGTCATGTCAACACAGATACGCACCTTTTGCTTGTCCTTTTTGGGTGCTACTACCATGCCACAACACCAGTCTGTGGGCTCTTCCACACGACTGATCACTCCTAGTTTTTCCATCCTCTCCAGCTCTTCTTTAACTTTACCCATGAGAGGTAGGGGGACACGCCTCGGCACTTTGAGCGAGAAAGGCTTAGCATCGGGCTTCAACTTGATGGTGTAGGGTTTTTGAACAAGTCAGAGCCCTTCACACAGTTTTGGATATGTCCTTTTCACTGTCTCTTGGTCGATACTGTCCACTCTTGCTATCAGCTTAAGTCTCACAGACGCTGTTCTGCTCAACAATGCCACGCGCAGATTTCTGACCACGTAGATCGTCTCTCTTGTACTCCTATCGGCGTATGAAATAGTCTCTGTTGTCGAGCCTAATACATTGTGCACATTTCCACCCGGACCAAACAGTGGTTTCTCAGCTTTATCCAAATGTTCATTTGTCTGTTTCAAGTTCTTGTATGTCTGCTCTGAAACAGCAGTGACATCTGCCCCTGAATCCAACTTGAACCTTACTTTAGTGCCTTTCACGTCAATGTCTGCAAGCCACGGATCTTCTCCTTGATCAAGCTCCCCTAAGAAAAGTCCATCTGCACACTCAGCCACTTCATTCACAGAACTTTTGGACCTACACACTTTACTGTAGTGACCACGTCTTCCGCAGTTGTGACATTCCGCATTTTTAGCTGGGCACTGGGCTGCAGGGTGTGCTGGTGCTTTTCCACATTTATAACATGTTTTATTTTCTTGTTTAGCATGTTGAGGTTTTGGGAATTTCAGCTGTTTTTGTTCTTTATTGTTGAACTTACTTGGCTTGAATTTTCTGGTGTGTACTGCATCCATCGCCGTCTTGCTCACATTACTTTCACATCGCAGGTCAGTCTGTTGCCGCTTTATTTCTTTGGACTGCCTCGCCATTGTGATAGCTTTGGTTAGTGTGAGGTCTTTGTCGAGCTGCATCCTCTCTGAAAGTGACGAATCTCTGAGACCCACAACGAGTCTATCTCTCAAAAGTTCATCGTGAAGTGCACCGTATTCACAGTTCTCCGCAAGTGCGTACAAAGCCGTGATAAATGAGTCCACCGGCTCTGCTAGCTGCTGTACTCGCTTGTTGAATTTTGCACGTTCATAAATCACATTCTTTCTGGGGACAAAGTGTCTATCAAACGCACTTTTGACTGCATCATACCGCTGGCGGTGCACATCGGTAAGGTCTAGTCCTCTTAGCACGTTGTCAGCCTCATCTCCCATGCAGTAAACTAGCGTGTTCACTTGATTAGCATCAGTCGAATTGTTCAGATTACTTGCAACTCTGAAGCGCTCGAAACGTCTGATCCACTTTTCCCACTCTTGGGGTTTTGCAAAGTCGAAAGGTTCCGGTGGTTTGATGGTGAAAGTCGCAGCCGGTGGAGCCGCCATCACGGGAGCTGCTGCCTCTGCTACGGGTTGGGCTGCTTCACGTGCGTCTCCCCGATCCATTGTCGTCAGCCGAATGCAAAACTGACTTTTTCACCTGTGTCCACGAACCAGGACTACTTCTGCCACTTGGGTTCATATATACGAGGATGCCCTTTGAGAGTTCTCACGAAGCTCTTTTATTCACATGCTTCCATCACAAATGCACAGGTAGCTTAGCTCTAACTCTGCTGTCTTAACGCAGCTTTCAATCAACATAGGACCATGGTCTGCCCCCTGGTGGCAGACCATGCAATAACATTAGTTTACACCACACATACACGTAAAAAATGTTTACATATTGAAAATAAATGATGAACATACATACGTATACAAAGACATACATAAAGACTTACAGACATACAGGCATTCACACCTCAACGCCTAGACATATACATATGTACATAGGTACATAGGTACATATCTACATAGGTACATACGTACATACATACATACATACATACACACACACACACATACATACATACATACATACATACATACATACATACATACATACATACATACATACATACATACATACATACATACATCCATACATACATACATACATACATACATACATACATACATACATACATACATACATACATACATACAGGGGTTGGACAATGAAACTGAAAAACCTGGTTTTGGACCACAATACTTCATTAGTATGGTGTAGGGCCTCCTTTTGCGGCCAATACAGCGTTAATTCGTCTTGGGAATGACACATACAAGTTCTGCACAGTGGTCAGAGGGATTTTAAGCCATTCTTCTTGCAGGATAGTGGCCAGGTCACGACGTGATGCTGGTGGAGGAAAATGTTTCCTGACTTGCTCCTCCAAAACACCCCAAAGTGGCTCAATAATATTGAGATCTGGTGACTTTGCAGGCCATGGGAGATGTTCAACTTCAC